AGCTCTGGCGTGTTGGGAGGGTTCTTGTCCTTGGGAACCACCTGCACGTTGTTGGCGGCGTACCACTCCATGGTTGGCCAAAACAGTACGGAACAACCGTGTTTCTTCACGTAAATTTCTTGGTTGACAGTCCCGGAAGCTATGAAAATGCTGCTTTTCAAGCCACAGGTACAGATGGCTTGCCAAACCAGATATTTCTTTGCGAACTTTGACAGTTTCATGTGCTTGAAAACATCTGCTACCTTTCCCCTTCCTTTTGCCGTATAAAACTCCTGTCCCGGAAGCTGCTTGTAGTCGGCTTTGACGTAGGTTTCGTCGTCCATTACCACGCAGTCAAACTTCGTCAGCATCGTCGTGTACAGCCTCCGGGATCGCGCTTTGGCCGTCGTATTTTGTTTATCATCGCGATTTGGAGTCACTACCTTCTTGTAAGTCGATAGTCCGGCTCGTTTTTTGGCTCGATGCACGGTTGTAGACGATACACCCAGCTTATTTGCGGCATCTCGGAGAGAAAGGTTAGGGTTTCGCTTGAAACTACCGGCAACTCTCTTTGTCGTCTCAGCGGCTTCCGGTTTTCGATTTCCCCCCGATCCAGACTTCCTGGCTGTCGACAAACGTTCCACAAACACTTTAATTACATAATTTAAATACATTGATTTGGCAACTTTTAGCGATTTTGCCAACTTTGCGTGCGAGTAGCTCGGATTTTCGCGATGCGCGAGCAAAATTTTGATACGATGCTCTTCTTGCTTGGACGGCATTTTGACAACTGAAGAGTGAATTCCAAAATCAAAATAGGAGCAACATTCTACACACACACACCTTCAAAATGAGGGGTGTTCAGGTTTTTTAAATGCAAAATTGAAAGAAATACGTCAAGTTGATATTGACCAAATTTTGACCGTATAACCCTTCAAACTATGATCCTAATCTATCAATTACTTTGAAGAAACACAATTTTCACCAACTGAGTGAAAAGTTATTAACAAATAAGCAGTTGGTGTGTACAACTGTGCATGCCAAGCATGTGTCTGGTATCTCCTTCGGAAACTGCTGGAATTATAGTAAGGGATATTGGAATACTCGTGGGAAATGTCAGGAATCACTTCAGAAACGTCTCGGGCCAAGAGCGTCTAGATCCTACGTAGGGAGCTGCTGGTATCCGAGAAGGGAATGTCTATAGTACCCGCCAGGAATGGCAGGAATATCCGTCAGAATCATCTGGAGAATCTGTCAGTAACGTCGGAAATCCACATCGGGAGCGTTTAGTATATCCTTTGGGAACAGGTGGAATCTGCTCCGGGAATTTCTGGAATTCTTGTCGGAAACGTCTGGTATCTCCTTCAGGAATATGTCGATAATTGATAACGTCTAGAATCTGTGTCGGAAATGACTGGTATCTCGGATGGAATTGACATCGTGCTCTGCTGAAACTCTCGTCGGGTATGTCTGGAAGCACTTCGAGAACGTCTGCATTCGGGATCGTGTGAAATGCACGTCATGATCGTCGGAAATCTCAGTGGTAAACTGCTGGAACCCTCGTTGGGAATGTCCAAAATCACTTCGGAAACGTCTGGAGTGCCCATCGGGAACGTTTATGTAGAATGCCCATCGGGAATCGCTGGTATCTCCTTCGGGAATAGGTGGAATCGTCACATCGCTGGGATTCCTGTAGGGAACGTCTGGAATCTCCATCGGGAACATTTGGAATCCCCGTTGGCAACGTCCAGGAACTCCGACGGGGATGTCATTGTTAGAATAATGTTAAAACAAAAATTTCGACATTCAAGAAACCTTCAGGATTCGAAAGAAGAGCATTCCCCGTCATTTTGCCACTATTATTTAAATCATTCATCGGAGGCACTTTTTCATACAGATCTTCCGCCAATTTGAGCGTTTATTTCTATGGGTCATTCTATTATAAAAATTTTTGGTACGCAAGAAATCGAAAAGCAATTTTTTTCTGGGGTCTGAGAAATTTAAGTCATGTCTGCAATCACTTCAGGAACGTCTAGAATGTCCATCGTGATCTGCTGGAATGTCCATCGTGATCTACTGGAATCCTCGTCGGATATGCCTCAACCAGAACATCTGAAATCTCCGTCAGAAACTTAGGGAACATCTGAAGTATCCGTCGAGAATGTCTGGAGTTCCCAGCTGGTACGTCTGGTATCTTAATCTGACAATGGTGAAATCCTAACCGGAAACGTCTGTAATCTCCGTCAGGAGCTTCTGGAATCCACGTTGAAAACCTTTAGAACCCTATCTTGGAGTGGACGTGAAGATCGGGAGACAAACAAAAAGGGCTGGGTTCAATCCCAGTCGGCGCCGTCGGGATTTTCTGAGGCATACAATCTTTGAACAAACCTTCCTTTGGAAGGGAAGTAAAGCCGTTGGTCTCCAGTCCATGAGTTGATGGGTCAATAGGTAGGATCCAAGTGTGGAAGCTGCCTCTCTGGCGTCGGTAGCATTAGTACTAAGTACGGAAAACAAGATCGATGGAAAACAAATCAAGGAAAAACATTGTTGCTTTGCTCTTTTTGGATGCGTACTTGACGAAAATCGTGTATTTTCTGGATTTCACAGAAATCTACAAATTCAATTTAAATCCATAATTAATGATTAATTTAACATAATGCTTTACGAAATCAAGGATAGTTCGAGATTGGTGTATTATCTTTGATAAAGCTTACCATCATGAAAGTTTCATATTAATCGAATAGTGGAATGGAAATTCATCCACAAAAAGAGACTTGGGCCTCGCAGTTTATATTCATGATTAGATTTATTTATTAAAGAGACTTTCAGACATTTATGTTCATTATAGACATAATTTTGAATATAAACCAGGCAATCAAGCAAGCCCACCTGTCTCTAGATAACTAACCGTTCCTTGTACGGCAGATACGTAAGACATGTTCAGGACAATCTGCGAAGAAATCCTAAACAGTTCTGGAATTTTGTAAAAACTAAGTGAAATGAAAGCGGCCTTCCATCTACACACTTAGATTTTTTCGCCGAGATGGGCACCACCGAGCAGCTCGGCATTTTATTTTGCTGGATCTCAGTGACAAACTTGCCAAGATTCAGCTAACAAACGAGAATTTTGCCGAGATCTCAGCTAACAAACATATATTTTGCTGAATTTCCAGCAAAATAAAATGCCGAGCTGCTCGGTGGTGCCCATCTCGGCAAAAAAATCTAAGTGTGTACCATGCGCATGGAAGATCAATCTTCCTCCACCGCAGAAGCCAAATGCGAACTATTTGCTGCACGATTTGCGAGTGTTTTTCAGGCATCAACTGCGTCTCCATCGGATGTTGAAACTGCGACAAGGTCCCTGCCCGTAGACGCATTCGACATTGATATTTTCGATGTTAATCAGACGATGGTGGAGAATGCACTGAAGAAGCTGAAATCATCTGTATCACCTGGACCGGACGGTATTCCTGCGTGCATATTGAAAAAAATTTAGTGGCATGTTGCTTACACCTCTGCAAGCTATATTCAACCTCTCTCTTCAAAGCCAGCAGTTTCCAATCGCTTGGAAGATGTCATACATGCAGCCTATCTTCAAGAAATGCAGTAAAGTGGATGTGTCAAACTATCGTGGAATAGCTTCGTTGCCTGCCGGATCCAAATGCTTTGAGATAATTCTCAATGGTATTATGTTCCAGGCCTGTAAAACGTACATTTCAACATCTCAGGATGGACGTTCAGTCATCACTAATCTGTGTGAATACACGTGGTTTTGCATCAGCGAAATGGAGCAAGGAGGTCAAATCGACAGCATATACACTGACATAAAGGCTGCGTTCGACTCAGTTAATCACGATATTCTGTTGGCTAAGCTGGAGCGACTAGGAGCATCTTCGAGAATTTGTAGTTGGCTGAGATCATATTAATATAACCGTCAATTGTTCGTGAAAATTTGATCAGCCGTGTCTGCACCTTTCATTCCTCGATGTGGGGTGCCGCAAGGGAGCAACTTGGGGCCGCTGTTATTCGCGTTGTTCTTCAATGATGTGTCCCACGTTCTTCTGAATTGCTGCCTAATGTTCTACGCAGACGATTTGAAAATCTACTAAGACTAAGATAGACGCAAGTTCAGCCAAAATTTTACGCTCCGAAATAGACTGCCCTGCATTGCTGAGTCAGCTCAACATCTACGCTCCTCAGCGAGTGCTGCGATCTAGACAGCTATTGCGCCAGCCAACGAGACGAACACAGTACGGATCCAACAATCCCATCGATTCGATATGTCGAAGACTCCAAGACAATTACAGCTTGTTTGACTTCAATATCTCTACCAACGTCTTTCGAAACCGACTACGGAATCGACCAGAATGATTTTGTTTTTTTCTGTACAACGTGTTAAAGTTTTTTTTAGTTATGTTTTATTCATTAAGACCACGATGTCAGATGGATTTATACAATAAATACAAATATAAATACAAACTATCCAGCCAGACTATGCCATTTTCTTTAAGCTATTCCAGTTGAGCTAAAAATATGATCCTCAAACCAAAAAACATTCCGGAACAAGGACAGATCTCTTCTTGAGCGGCATCCGCACGTTGTGTCAGAAACTTTCGCAGGCCAGTGCTATCAAAAGCAAACACACTTTACTTCCCGCTATAGACTAGCGGGAAAGCCGGTGAAGCTTTTCGAGAGGGAAAAAAAGCATCAAAGCTTTCCTTCTTTCTACGCTATTAACGAAACGACGGATGTGGGTGGCAAGTGAGTGGCGGCGGCAATGAATTATGGCAGGTTATTCTTCAACTTCATCATCGTCATCATCGTGGCAGTCGTGTGCCATCATGCTTGCTATGATCGACGCCCATCATAGACAGACATCCACTCCTCTAGACAGAGCAAGCGGGATGGTTGTGGTGGTCGGTCAGCCAGCAAGGCACTTCCTAAATCGAGCAGCCACGCGGTCGTTAACCTCGATTTTTCCCACCGAAAAAAAAAGAAAAGTGCATGATGTGGACACTCACCTCGATGCAGCCCTTGGCGTGCTGTTTCGGACTGAGGAAGAACGTTCCATCGACTAGCGGGTAGCGATCAAAGACTAGCATCGGTTCCTCGCAGAGGACACACGCCACCCGGCTCTTATGTTGGGCGGCCAGCGACGAGAGGATAAACAGACGCGTCTCGTCATTTCCGTGGTTGCCTTCGTCCTCGATCTGCAATGAAACAAAAAAAAAGGAAAAATTGATTAGTCCATGTGTGTAGGGTCATGATCAGCAATGTAATATTTTTATGCTACTCGCAATGACACCGAGGCGAAAAATTTCATTAATTTGGTATTATCCTTGGTGGCGTCGTCGGACAACCCTTCCCACAGCTGGTGATTCAATTTACGTTCCTAATAACCGCACACCCAGTAAGAGAAAGATGTGCAAAGGTATCACGTTGGTTGTTGTGTCGATACCAGGCAGGACACAGACAGGAAGAAAATGCAATCCGAAATGGAAACCAGCAACGTGCATAACGTTCATTGGAGGAAACATGGAAAATTGGATATTGAACGAACGTGCGAATGTTCCGTCTAGTTCTGTGCTCTGCTCGAAGAAACAGCGTGTATGTATTTATATTCCTGGCGAAAATATTTGCTATGGATATTAAAACCGAAATTGGAAATGAGATGAAAATTTAATCATGCCATTTCGGGTGAATACGCTTGCGATGTGTGTATCGGATATGCCATGTGGGATCTCTCTTCAACCACCAGCAGCAGCAGCAGTCTCAGGGTCTTTGTGTGATGTGTGATGACGGTTGATGTGGGTTTCGGATTGGGACATGAATAAGATCCAACTGACTGGCAGAGATGTTGCGTTTTTTTTTTATTTGGAAGAAAAAGGAAGTCCCTGTCTGCTTAACTTGGTGTTACTTTTAATGTGGAGGGAACTTCAAGGGGAAGGGATGATGAGTTATGTTGACGACTCACCAAAACTTGGTGGGATTTGAATGCTTGTTGTGAAATCAAGATGACTTATTTAGCGGATTATTTGGTAAATTACAGTCAACCCACAATAAAGAACACGCTTTTTGCTCTTAATTGGAAGGAAGCAATATGAATGCGACTTTTCAGAAGCCTTGTAAGGTGCTTTTTTTTAACTATGATAATCAGGGTTCTGTATTTTCAAAACAAAGAAAAGAAAACGAACTCTCTGCAGAATTGCTTCTTCATTTCGAGCAATTTCATTTTCGTGTAAGTCATTGTGTTTCTTGTTATCGAATCCAGATGAATACTCCTCCTTCTGTCTAACATGACTTGGCTATCGTTTGTTTCGTTTCATTTCATTTGAAGCAACGACTTGTTTCAATTGACGCAATGAATGACTCGAAAACTGCTTCCTTCGTTTTTTTTTCCACTTTCACCTCATTTCGGGTTTCATTCGACTTGTCACGCCTCACGTCGTTAGGAATAAAAATATAGTATCCGGATAGTGTCTGCACAATATCGGTTGCCGAGCGTCCGGATTATATGTAGTTTTGTTTTGTTTATTAATTTATTTGATAAGGCTCAACCGAATTAACTTTACAGAGCCGAGGATTCTTGGTCACTATACAATACATCTTAAAACTATAGTCAAAAGGTACAACACAATAAACACTTTATCTTCCGCTATCCAAAAAGCCTCTTCCATCAGAACTGGAGCCGCTTCCAGTGGTTTCATTGTATGGCAAATTGTTGTACGCCAACGAGGGTCAGAGCGCGTCTATTGCAGCAATGGACGCAAAACGTAGTCAGCACTCACACACTCATCACGAAACGGTTGCTTTCCAAAGTCGACGACGCATCGACCGAAAGAACTGCTGATTAAGAACAATGAGGAGGACCACACAATGGTTGCTGCCGAGAAAACAGACGATCGCGTAGCACACATCGAGAGTGGCCTGCTTTTGTCGACAGCCGAGTGAACACTGGATTATATGTAGTAATAAATTTTTATTTGACGAGGCCATTCTGAAGTCCAAGATGGGGGCCATCGGGCTCAAGAAAAGTCTCAAATACCCTACAATAATGGTATTTTCGGAACGGGGACGACGTGAAGGTGCGGACAATCGATGTCCGACTCCATTTTGGAATCCAAGATGGAGGCCATCGTGCTCGGATAAAGACTCAAATACGCTACAATATGGGTATTTTCAGAACCTGGACGTGGATGCTGAAAATCGATAATCGACGCCATTTCGGAATCCAAGATGGCGGCCATTGATTTTCAGAAAACGTGCCAAATACCCTAAGATATGGGTATTTTTGGAACGGGGACGACGCCAACAATCGATATTTGACACCCATTTTTTAATCCAAGATGGAGGCCATCGGTTTTCAGAATATATACATGTCAAATACCCAACAATATGGGTATTTTCGGAACAGGACGACACGTCACACGAAAATCGATATTCGATGCCATGTTGGAATCCAAGATGGTGGCCATCGGTTTTCAGAAAACGTGTCAACTACCCTAATATATGGGTATTTTCAGAACGGGGACGACGCGTAGATGCCGAAAATCGATAATCGACACCATTTTGGAGTCCAAGATACCGGCCATCGGGTTTCAGAAAAGTGTCGAATACCGTAGAATATCGGTAATTACGGAACGGGGACAACGCATAGATGCCGCAAATCGATATCCGATGCCATTTTGGAATCCAATATGGTGGCTATCGGGTTTCAGAAAAAGTGCTATATATCCTACAATATGGGTATTTTCGGAACGGGGACAACGCGTACATGCCAAAAATCGATATTCGACACCATTTGTAGGGTATTTCCTACTTTTTTTCTGAAATCGGAAGCCGTCATCTTGGATTTCAAAATGGCATCGGAAATCGATTTCCGGCCTCTATACATCATCCCGATTCCATCCCATCTAATACCCATCCCGAAATACATACATTGATGGGTATTCGACAGTATGTTCCACTTTTTCTTAAACTGGCAGCCGTCACCTTGCATTTCAAAATGTCGTCGCATATCAATTTTCGATCGCTGTACGGTATATTCCAAAAGTACCCATATTGATGGGTCGGTGACAGTATTTCCCATCAACCATTTCGTTGGTCATCAATTTCCGGCCTCTAGACGTCATCCCGATTCCAAAAATACCCACCAGACAATGATGAATTTGACATCCACGTGCATAGATCTATGCGTTTGTGCTCAGGGAATCAAGAAAATGCTATCTTCCGATGCTTACCGACGATAAAAATACTAGTTAACGGAATCATGATCAGTGTACAGTAAGATCATGGATTATCATTTGTGTTACACATCATGATCAGCAACAAAAACGATAATCTACTGTTATGATAACAATCACTTTGTAATGTATATCAAAATCTAGGAACTTGCTGTCTTCGGAAATGTTGTTCTAGAGGTCAAATACCCTACAATGTGGATATTTTTTGAATCGGGATGACACATATATTTTGAAAATCAATGTAGGTCGCCATTTTGAAATCCGTCATCTTGGTTTCGAAAAAAAAAACTGTCAAATACCCTGCAATATGGGTATTTTTGGAACTGGTATAATGTATAGATGTCGAAAATCGATGTCAACCGCCATTTTGGAATCCAATTGGGCGGCCTTTGGATTGAGATAGAACTGACAAATAAACTATTCAACATGGCGGCCGACATCAATTTTTGACATCTACACGTCATCCCGTTTTCTAAAATGCCCACATTGTAGCGAAAAGTTGTTTCTAAAATCAATAGCCGCTATCTTGGATTCCCAAATAGCGGCAGATATTAATTTTCTACACCTGCATACTATCCCTGTTCCGAAAATACCCACATTTCGGGTAATCTTGGATTTCTAAATGGTGGCGGACATCAATTTTCTACAGTTCTTCTTAAATCGATGGCCACCATCTTGGATTTCATAATGGCGGCAAACATCGATTTTCGATCTCTTTACGACATCCTCATTCCGAAAATTCACATATTATAGGGTATTTGATTAGCCTTGTCTTAAATTGGGAATTTTCAGTGACGAGAGCTGATGATGATGATCTGAGATTATCGCTATTTCATATGATCATGATCTGTTACACAAATGATAATCGCATTATCGTTTCCAGAACTGTCCATTGTGATTTATGGATTTGTACTAATCATGAGTGTAACCAAAATGAGAATGCCATTATCTTTATCTGAATCGTTCATTTTGATTCCCTGAGTGCTTAAATGAATCGAGTGAACAATCAACAAACGTCAGAAAAACTGCGTGAATTTGGATCGAACAGCTTCGCTTCAATGCGAAAGTAAGTTCATTCGCAATAAAAGAGAAAGAAAACTGATCGAAAGTGGTTATGTTGGTGTTCAAGGGAATCTGCTCAAAGAGCATACAGAACTACTTTCAATTGAAAGTGATGGCGGACGGCTTCATCGTCGCTTGACGATTTTCGATTGAAAGTGACTTTGTTGGGCCCTGATGAGAGATCCACTGAAGTTTGGAAAATACTGGAAGATCTAAGGTAAGCTCTTCAGTGTTCACTCGGCTGTCGACAAAAGCAGGCCACTCTCGATGTGTTCTACGCGATCGTCTGTTTTCTCGGCAGCAACCATTGTGTGGTCCTCCTCATTGTTCTTCATCAGCAGTTCTTTCGGTCGATGTGTCGTCGACTTTGGAAAGCAACCGTTTCGTGATGAGTGTGTGAGTGCTGACCACGTTTTGCGTTCATTGCTGCAATGAACGCGCTCTGACCCTCGTTGGCGTACAACAATTTGTCATACAATGAAACCACTGGAAGCGGCTCCAGTTCTGATGGAGGAGGATTTTTGGATAGCGGAAGATAAAGTGTTTATTGTGTTGTACCTTTTGACTATAGTTCTAAGATGTATTGGATAGTGACCAAGAATCCTCGGCTCTGTAAAGTTAATTCGGTTGAGACTTATCAAATAAATTAATAAAATAAATAAATAAGGTAAGCTCTTGGAATATCCGGGAGAATGTTCAACGACCTGACGGGAGAGTAGTTTTAGATTCTACACACTTGTAGAATGTATATATTGATGTTAATTTAGGTGCTCTGAGACTGGCATATACGAGCGTCAATTTTGACATAAAATGGAGTCATGATAACCGTGAAATTCAGCCCAATCAAACGTACTTTTGAACTTTTCAGTCTCGTTGCACTTAATTTTACAAGACAAGTTCGCGTA